TATGTCCACTGCATTAAAAACATCTTTTATTCCCACCACCTCAATTTTGTTACTTTCCAATATACTGCAGTATTTGGCTTTGATAACTCTCTCTTCCAAAATCAGCAATGACTTCTTCTTGGCTACTTGACAGTGGTGAAAATTTTCAGAGTAACTTAATCTTCTAAATTAAATCTGCTTGATTTATTTATTTTTAAGGCCTTTTGACTGTCTTCATCCTTCGTGATTTGTCTACTGCTTTGTCAGCGTGTGAACCATTAGCACCTGAGTTCCTCCCAGATTTAAGAGTTTTCTCATTCTTACACTACCTCACTGGTTATCCAGTGGTTCCTGTGACACTTCCTTTGTCATTGTATTATACGCTTTCTTGACTGTTCAGAGTTTAGCATATTCAGAGTGATATATATAAATGATAATATTTGGGGCTGTGATCATTAACCAAACAAGAAAGGCAGTGTAATAGAAGAAAAGATACTGACTTGGGCTTGTTCAGCCTGGAGAAGAGAAGACTCCAGGGAGACCTTACAGCACCTTCCAGTACCTGAAGGGGCTACAAGGAAGCTGGGAGGGAACTTTTTACAAGGGTCTGTACTGACAGGACAAGGGGTAATGGGTTTAAATTGAAACTGGGGAGATTTAGATTGGATATCAGGAAGAAATTCTTCCTGGAGAAGGTGGTGAAGTACTGGAACAGGTTTCCCAGAGAAGCTGTGGATGCCCCATCCCTGGAAGTGTTCAAGGCCAGGCTGGATGAGGCTTTGAGCAACCTGGTCTAGTGGAAGGTGTCCCTGCCCATGGCAGGGTGGGTGGAACTAGATGGTCTGTAAGGTCCCTTCCAACCCAAACCATTCTGTGATTCTATGACTGGTTGGTAGAAAAGATACAGGACTTTGAGTATGACTACATGCAATGAGCTAAGATTGCTAGTAAAATCCACTTTTACATGGCTGGAAAATAGTTTTAAGGACAAATAAATCCATTTTTATTTTGATTATGTCTGCATACAGGTTCAACTGTCTTCAGTGAGTGCACTCTAAACATACCACATACGTTAATCATAACTTTCTTCAAGCATCCATAAGAAAGCATGCCTTCTGCGTAAATGCAAATAAGAAGGTACGGAAGTCACTCTCACTTTGGCACAAGCAGAAACAGGTATACTGGGTTAACATAAAGCTCATAAACCCATACTGAATCAGAGTAATATAATAGCAGTAACAGCTACTCAAGAAACAAGTATAAGGAGCAAGACATGTAGAGTGATTCTTCCTCTGGCATAACTTCCCAGTGTTCACTCATGGCTTGATTTTGAGGACTTGCTAAATTAAAGGTTTCGGATATTGTGTTTTATAGCATATGATGCATCTATTCATGATGAATTTGTCAAATACAGGTTCAGAAATTTGTACCTCTGGTCTTCTCAACATCCTTTTGGAATACTTTGCAAGCCTAAGTAATGCATGACATTTAGGAAAATACACTTTCTGTTTGCTAATAATTTCCTTGGTTCCCTGAGATCTTATGTTACGTGAAATATCTAATAAATGATGAGTCTATCTTCTCCCTGCTTCTGTAGACTAAAACAGATTAGAAACTTACTGAACTGCTTAGTTTCTCTCTTTTTTTTTTAAGAAAAATTCCAAGCATAGTCCATATTTTTGCATGTAATGCATTTTGTCTTTCTTCATGTTATCATAATCCTTCTTGAAGTTTGTTATTAAAAATAACAAACAATGCAAATCAAAGAGAATATGTAGTTTAATCATCATGTTGCAGATATGTCTGTCTTACTACTTTCCACTTTGTTTTTATAGTGGTAATAATAATTTAGCCTACATTCATGTGATCATCAGTATATAATTTAACTTCTAGACTGTTGAAAGGCTCTGAACTTTATTGAGTTTATTATGCTGTGAATTTAATAAGAAATCAGGATCTAGGAATGTCTGGTATGTTTACATGCATTAGCTAGCAATGTTTGGTGACATCATTTGGTTGCCAATACATGGGTATGTATGTTGTACCTTTCAAGAGGATTTTGGTGTCCCAACTGTCTTATTTCTAGCTGCTGCTCCAGGTACTATGGACCTCTGTCATATTTATCTGCCCCACGCCGGTGCTTCGGGTACCAAAGGGCATCTCTGTTGGCATTAGATAACTGTGACAAATCAAATAAACTATGATTTTGGGAGGGGAGAGTGGGGGGATGCACAGGGGACTTTGTGATGGGTAGTATTGAAGACATGAGTAATATAAAGAAATATTACTTGAAAAGATCAAGGTTGTCAGGAGTCTTTAGCAATAAATGCAGCTGTTGATTAATGGCGTTTCAGGACATCTGGTTACAGGTTAGCATCAGTAATGAGCATGGGGGAAGGACGGATATAAAGTGCAGAGTTTTGGGTGGACTTGTCCTTACTTTATCTTTATTACAATGTCATGCTCTATAATAGGAAATAATGTGGTGGGTTTATTTGCCCAAATAAGATTTCTGAGTCCATTGAAACCTGGAAATTCCAGCAGAATGCTGATTGTTGTTGGAGCCAGGGTTATATTATGATTTAATGGCTTTTCTGGGCTTCATTTGATGACCTGGCCTAGAAAAACATTTTGAAGTAATAAAGAGTCTGTTTGGCTCCAAACTAATGAGGGAAGCATTGCTCTTTGCATTAACTGTTCTTTAGGAAGAGCCGTGGAGAGCTACTAATAAACCTCATTAAAGAGCTTAAGCAAGATTGAAGGAAATAGAAAACAGAGAAACTATTCCTTTCTATGTGAAGTGAGTCCATAAAAAAAAAAAAAAGAAAAAGAAGGGGAAAAAAAAAAGGCAAGCCCACGGGGTTTTTGCCTCTTCTCCATGTGACTTTCAGCTTGCTGCACTTCAGTTACGTTGGCTCTGAGATATGTTAAAGTGCAGCTCAGTTTAATGAAGAAGTGGATAAGACAAATCAAGGCTAGAGACTATTTGCAGCAGAGATTGGGTAAGTAAATGCAGCTGTAGATAAGTGTTTACTAATATTGTGCAATTGTTACAATACCTAGCCTGTAGCATGTAAAACAATACTTAGAGCTATCATTTTTTGGTGGTCCTTTCTTTGTTTTACTTAAGTAATTTGCAAGTCTGGGTGGTACATGCTGTGCAACAGATTTATTCATAAGACTGATAGAGGATTTATTTTTATTTTCTAGACTTTGTACAGCCAAACAAATAACTTTAATTTCATGTACTGATTTGGTTTTAAATTCTTTGCTATGTAAGTAACTCCGTCTATTTTAGTGTAGTGCTCAAAATAATTTCAGTGGGAGTTAGCTGATCGTTTCTGGTGCCTTCCTGTTATTTTAATTATTTTTCTACTGGTGAGGGAGAGGGGAAAACAGCTTATACTCTGAACCTCCTAGATAAAGCATTTTCAGATTTCTAGAATCTAACTCCAGACCACTGAAAACTCCCAGCATCAACTTGTTCCAGGAATTCATTCAACCATCCTAGTAGGATATGATTTCAGCTGTTTGCTTTTCTTCTCTGTGTCTTTTTTGAAAGCTTTGTATGCGTTCCTATACTAAGTTTTATATTGAAAATTCTGTTTTAAATATATTTATGTTTAAACTTGTGTAAATTTAATATCAATATACGAGATAGAAATATGATGAAAGTTGTTATTGTTTAAGACTTCTGGGCTTTGATTTTGATTTGGTTTTGTCTTTAGCAATTTGAATGGACCTTGCCGTTGCTATAATGCTGTTATGAAATAGGATTGCAATCTTAGTCAATTAGCAATTTCTAGAACAGTTGTTTTAGCAGCTTCAGTGCCTGCTATTTGAGAATTTAAATCTCAGTGCATAGACAAAGAGCTGAGTAGGTGTGATCAATATATATTGGAAAGACCTATACTGAAGCCTAATTCGAATCTTCCTAACTGAAAAAGGAAAAGGAAACTCCTTCATTGTTGGTAGTGTATTAAAGAAAATATTTTTAAGCGTTTCATATGTTGTGATCTAAGGCGTGTCTTATTTTTGCATCGTCTTGCAGGAAAGAGCACATTAAATATTTATAGTCTATCATGAGGTTTTCGATCTGGATTAATCACAATGTGTTATCTTTTTCAGATAATCACTCCATTTAGGAGGCTAATATTGTGTGCTGAGAACAGAAAAGAAATGGAGGACTGGATAAGCTCTCTGAAGTCCGTTCAGTCCAGAGAACACTATGAGGTAAGTTGACAACCCTGTTAGTGCAACCTGTTCTAGCTCAACAGATCAAGCTACAGGACACCGAACTGTAGTAATCATCCTCCTTAGTGTCAAAAGGGTGTCTAGTGTCGAAGTGAAGCTTCATGTTGAGACCTTCAGTAGCCAAAATGAGAGCTCATTGTCACACTTTTGGTTAGAAGTTTGGAGGGAGAGCAGGCTAACTACCCTTCAGAAAATACCTCTGGTGAACACTGCATTGACCTCCCCTGTCATATGGAACCGTAGGTAATTTCAGTCACTGTAGCTGTGTTCTGTACTTGCAAATTTGTCTTAACTTCTCCTTTACTAGACCGCACAGTTTAATGTGGAACATTTCTCAGGGATGCATAACTGGTACGCCTGCTCCCACGCCCGACCTACCTTCTGTAACGTGTGTAGAGAGAGCCTCTCTGGAGTCACTTCTCACGGCCTGTCCTGTGAAGGTAAAATAAACCCTTTCTTCCCCCTGTTTATAATGCTGCATATGTAGGTAGATGGCTGAAAGTTTAAGACACGTAATTATTTTGAAAATAATGAGGAAGAAAAAAGCCTGAAGGGAGAAATCTATTCACTAGAATGACTTTCTTTTGGGGCAGAGGAACTGCTAATGGTCTGGCTCACCTTCTTCGTGCTCCAGATGCCTTTTTCTAACTCATCACAATAAAACGGTTTCTTCTGCTGCAGTGACCAGTTTGGAATGTGCTGGCTGGGTGGTTTGCAAGAAAAGATAGCATTTATTTGATTTGCCCGTCAAAAATGTGAACAAGAGAGCCTTACTGGTTTGCAGAATCAGCATTCCTCGGAGAAAGAAATTGTAATGGTAGTTTCTCCTGAAATCTTTAAAAATTCTTAACACACTGTTCAGCGTGATGACCTCTTTCACTCTAATTCTTGTTTGCTTTGTTGCTGCTGCCTGATCCTGCAGTACAGATGAGGCCAGATTTATTACCTCAAAAATTCTCTCATGCACTGAGGGGATGGAGATGTAGATGCCTTTGCATTTTGATGGTTCAACTGATGAAATCCAGCACAAAGAAAAAGGAGGGGTGGCTGAGGTTTCAGCATTAAGCATATCTGGAGAAATGATATTTTGCAAACAAATATTTATAATAAACCTGAAACAGCTTACTTATTTTCAGCTGCAAGTTCTGTTAAAAAGTGGTAACCAGTCTGCTTATATTAGAATCCAACGGAAAATAAAACATCTGTGTGACCTTATGTTATAGATGAAATACAGAGATATTTAATGACCACCATAGCTAGCTGTCCAGAAGAGTTACAGATACACCATTCAGAACTTGATTTTTTGGATACATGTTACCATCTGCAGATGCATTTGTGTTATTGATGCCGTTATAATACTTGACATCTGAGTATAATAATGTGTGTTAAGGAAATCTTACAAAGGAAACATTAACCCACTGTCCTGAATTGTCCGTGCTTTTAATGTATCTAACAGTGCAGTTGCCAAGGAACGGGATGAACCTGTTTCATAGAAATCAGAAGTAGCATAGTTACTTCCAGCTTCTCTGGTGTATGTTTTCCACTGTGTATAAGTCGCTTGGACAGTTTTAAGGCAATTATGGTATTTTCAGTGTCTGATATTGGCAGATGGAAGTATCATGTGCTTAACTAAAATGCAGTTGTATTGCCTCTGTGGAGAAATAATTATATTTGCTCAGGGAAAGGAAAGGAAAGACTTGTTTCCTTTCATAAAGAATTTATCCTTTCGTAAGTTAGTATTTCAGATATTTTATAAGGCTATTTAGCAAGAGCTGTTTTTGTAAGATTATCAGTGTAAAAGGTTGTAGTTCAGTGTTTTCTGTTTTTTCAGTTATTTTACTTCTAAGTATAGTTTTAATTTCCAAGGCGTTGGCATTAAGATTAAAGAAGTTTCCTCAGTTTCCAGATTTGGACTTTGTCTCCTTTCTGCATAAATTACTACAAACTGATGCTACGTTTATCGCATTTCTGATGCCAGTTGATCTTTCAGCAGTTTTTACGAGCAACTCTGGATGGTAGATTGGATTTGCTTTCACTTGTTCTCAGTTTCATAACCATGCATGACCTAGATTGGTTTATAATTAGATACTATGATATTCTTTATCTACTAATAAGTTTATCTCCTCTTACTTTTTTAGCCACTAGTTTATATCTATTTTCTTTTTTTTTACAAGTATTTTTAAAATAAACAGAGAACCTTAATTATGTGTCTAATCTAAATCAGTCAAAGATTGACTCCTTTACTGGGATACTTGTACTTTGTCCCTGATTCTGTATATCTGTAAAAACCTGTTTTTAACCATCCTTAATTTCTAAATATAAAAAGTGTATTTTGGTTTGACACTGCTTCTTTCTCTGAGATTCATACGTGACTGAGTTCATATTTACTTGCTTCTGTCATGTACACTTCTAATGCATTTCACCATCTATTTTTTTCACTTATGCCATGTTAGCAATATGCACTGTTTTGGGAGAAGACGTAGGAAGTACGGAGTCTTACGATTCCCCAGACATGTTCTGTGCTACTTTTTTCATTACATCTTTAAAAAACGAGTTTAAATATTTATGCCTGGCATCTGAAACCGCCAGTACTGCTTTACGCTAGGAATCCATTTGTATCTATATTAAATCCAATTATTTGTGTGGTCATTGATCCCAGCCTACTCTATTATCTCCTGAACTGAGAAGCATGAGAGGCGGCTTCGCAGGAGATATTGGAGCTCTTCCTCCTCTCAGTGGTTTGGGTTACTGGCACACCAAGTTATCTTGAAAGTAGCTTAGAGTCTTTGTATTCTTTGTGGTCTGATTCTTGACTGCTAACTGTGGGTAAAAATAAATTCCATTGCTGATATTTTGCATCTGATGATACTTTAGAAGATCAGTCCTGTAATATTTTATTCTCTTAGACCTGCTGGTCTCCAGGAGTGCCACACAACTGTTTTTTCACCCTGACCACACAACAAGACTCATTTCTTAGGAGATAAAGTGGGTGCATTCTTTTTTCAGGGCCCCTTCCCTCCCAATAATCTTTTCCAAAGGTTGACCAAATTCGTTGCAGGACACCTTGAAGATATTCCTCTAAGTTTTGTGGAAACCAGTGTAGGAAAAGAGGGTATGTTAATGCTTTCACTAGGGAAAAGACTGCAGTGTGAACTTGATTCTTTCTGGAAGTCGAAGAATCAATATGTTTATCAAACCAAAGATGTAAATTCATACCAAACTCGGCTTCGGTCTTTCTACTGCTCAAAGCAAGAACTGACTTTTTAAAAACTAATTGTATACATTTTGAGATGCAGTGCTATTCCTCCCACTGTTTCTTCTTTTGTGTCTTCTCAAAAGATAATCCACTTTTCAAGTGTTATCTGTGTGTTGTGTTGAGAAATGGAAATTTTCCTCTAGCTAGCTCTGAAGGACTGATCTCCCCTACATTAAGCCACAGTCTTTACTACGACAGAGAAGTTATATTTTTTTGCCTTGCTTGGGAAATTGCTCAAAACTGGTTGAATCAAGTAAGGCTTTTGTTCTTGATGTTCCTCAAATGTTCCTCTTATTCAGAGTTCAGCTTGCTGTACTCTCATGAGTCTAAGCCTAAGAGGTTGTTGCGTAAACACAGGGATATATGGAATGTTTAGGCAAGGAAACGTAAAGAACTATAGATAATTGTCTGCAGAAACTCTTCAAAGCTCTTCCGTCTCAATTACTGTGTATTAATACTGTATTTGTATTCAAGTGATTACCAGTTGAACACTGCCTTTATGGTTATTCTCAAAGATACATTTCTCTACATAGTGTTAACATTACCATGACTGAATCTTGATTGTTAAATATCAAATATGCCTAGTAAGCTGGAGATTTCAGTTTAAATGAGATGCTTTCTCATATGATGAATTGCACAAGCAAATGATGTTGAAAGAACACTTTAGGATCATGAAGTTAAGCAGTAAGAAAATACTGGGATTAAATTGCCTCTGCAAATACACTTTGTGCATTTGATTTTTTTGCATTAAGATTGTTTTGGTTTTTTTTTTTTTGTCCACGAAACCCTGTTGTTCTTACGTAGTACTTAGGCTAGTATACATGGACCAGTTGGGTAGTCATCTCCAGGAATTTGGCCACATTATTTGCACAGGCTGGAGAGCGAATACTGAATGAAGCGGTCAGGAAGAGGAGGGGTGTTCATAGATAAAGAATTAAGGAGTAATGGAAAATTGTGTGTTCCATGACTTTGTATCTCACTGTGCTGCTCTGTAATGTTGGGGAAATCACCTAAATGAGATTCTGATGAAATCAATAGTTGTTTGTTGTTTATAATCTGGGACCTGTATCACAGTGAGTTCTCTGTAGCTGCAAAAATCAATTGAAGCTGTGTTTTGAAGTCACTGAAGATACAGAGTATTGAAAAAAAAGTCTTCACTGTCTTTTTGACAGCCAAACTTGGCAGACAATATTGCCCTTAATCTCTCTGTGCTTCACTTACCCCTTTCTTACAGTGGGTATGAAATCACACCCTTATTTTGGTAGTGCATGCTGAAAACAAAGGTGCATTTTCAAGTATTTAAAATCTGTAGTACTGAGAATAATAATTTTAAAAGGCCAGGAAGGAAATGGATATTTGTATCTAAAAAGCAGTATTTCATTAGGTGTTGGTAAATAAGGCAAATACTTGTAGAAAATCATTATGAACCAGAGCATGACGCAGCTACATACTTATGAAGAACTATTAATTCCATGTAGTGAATAAGGGTCCCATTCCCAAAACATGTATGACCATATAACCGAAGACTTTACACCTGCATATGGAAGCTGTATTAAAGTTGCATGAGTAACTTAACTTTGTAGTAGTTGACTTTGTAATATGAATATTCTTTTAGTGCTCTGTAATATTAAATTAACTTAGTTATTTGGTTGATGAAAATAGTAAAAACTACCAAGAAACGGCTGGATTTTATCTTTTATAACATAGGCATAGGCTTCAAATTGGAGCAAAGTTAGGTTGCTGTTTTCACGTGTCACTGTTTTCACGGTGGCTTGTCCATAGTAGTATTATTCTTGGAAACAAACCAGCAGGTTTCTTGGAATACACCAGGACAAATCCTTCCATCTTCATGACTTAAACTATAGATACCAACTCAGGGATCTCTGGATCAGTTTCAGAACTTCAGCTTTGGCCTTTGAAGCTGGAAAAGAACAGTCTTGAGGTAGTTCTTTGAAGAACACAGAAGAGAAAACTCATCATAAAATTTCCCGCTGCCCTTCATCCTCTGATGTATTGTATTTTGATCTGTGTGGCAAAGACAAATGTCTATCATTTATGAGTAGGAAGCTGAATTCAGTGACATATCTTCTCCAAAGTAATCAATAGGCAGAACGGCTCAAGGCCCAGCACTTGAAAACACAGCTTCTATGAGAGCTGACTTCTTTAGACACTTGGAACCTGCAGGGGTTGGCAAACACACAGTATGATGCTGAGCTGTTTTGAAAATGCAAGTCTACCCTGTTAGTTGAGTAATATGGGATATCTACACACTTTATGTCTATGAATGCTACTTTTTGAAATAACCAGGAGAATTACTGTAAAAGCAAAAAAACTCTTTTTTCTGTTTTCTTCTCTTTCTTTGAGCTAAGCACGTATTTTCACACATCCCCCAGAACAGCGTTGATTGCTTTCAAACTCAGATGTTGCTTACATAGTCTCAATTCACTTTTTAAATTGATCTGGCAATGGATCAGCGGAATTAAAAACGAGACATTTATGATTCACAAGACCTTTTGTACCATGGCTTAATGTTTTTAATGGTGGACAAGTGATGGGCCAAAGCTTTTGATAGTTTCTTGTCAAATATTTGTTTGAAATGAGACTACTACTTCTGGTCTGCTGGCTAGTTCTCATAAACCTTTAATGGTCTTTGCCAAAATAATTTATATAATGCTTTCTAAATAGAATGATGTCATGCACTTCCAGTAACAGAAATACCCACAGTTGGGTGTATCGCTCTGTTAGGTCTAATATGCAGTCATTAACTAGTCATATTAATTGAGTTGAACAAAATACAAATAGTTATTAGATTGTCTAAATGTCTGCCAGTACTGCATGCTTGTGCCGAATATTCCAATTAGTAAATTTTTAATAAATAATCCAGTAAGAAGTCAGACTCTTCCTTACTTAATGTAACTTTTTGGAAAATATCGTAACCATCAGTCTCCTGTACAAATATATCACAGCCTAACCCTCCACTTTCTCACCTTCTGGGAGAAGAGGTACAGTATGGTGCCCCAAAGGGACCCTTCAAGCAAAGAAACAGAGCTCCTGAAGCAAAATCATTCTCTGAAACACACTCCCATCACCTTCTATAAATTTAAACCAGGTGTCTGAGTTCTGTCAGACAGTTTCTTCAGGAACAGAAGAGTCAAAAACACAGTTGAAGATATATTTGTACCGTAGTACCTCACGTTGCACCTGAAAGAATGGGGGACAGATGCGGATTTGAGGACACAATTAACATGGGCTACAGCTAAGCAGTTAAACCCCATTTAGAGAATTAAAGCCAGAGTGATTATGAGCTGAATTTTCTTTCAGTTGAGTTGTGTCATGTGTGCAACGTGAAGTGGCATGCACTTCGCTGTTTTATGGAATATCTGTGTTTAATTTCTTTAAAGAAACGTGTCACTGAAATACAACAAATAACATAATACATCTGTTTATGTGTGCCTTCCAGTGTGTAAGTTTAAAGCACATAAAAGATGTGCTGTCCGAGCAACAAATAACTGCAAATGGACTACATTAGCCTCGATTGGAAAAGACATCATTGAAGATGAAGATGGTGTAAGTAATGTTCATACTTACAGTATTTGCCAAAGCTGGGTGGGGGGAAAGGCTAAGCATAAAAATATTACCATGTGACCCATTGAAGTTAATGGTAGGTGTCTATATTCCTGAACACTTTTCAAAGATTAACGTGGTATTTAGAATAGAAGTTACATTCCTATCTCACAAGACAAGTTCAGTGTCTGTGGGCACTGGATTGTAGCTGTGTTACAAGATTTTAAAGGCCACATGCAGAGAAACTCCAAAGCTGGAGACTTTGTCCCAGAAGTCCCTAGTGCTTTTAAGCAAAGATGGTATTTTATGCTGCTGCCACGCTGTTTGGCAGTTTATTTTGTGTCCTCCTTACCAATAGCTGTTCCCCAGGGGGCCTGCTTGGAATTCACTCATGTGCAGTGGGTTTTTTTACTGATGAAAGCAGGAATTTTAAAAATAGCAGTAGAACTGACAAAAGCTTTTCAGAGGTTTATTGTGATAGATGGGTTATTTTTACAAACACAACTGTGTATGTGCCACTGTTGTGAAGACCAGGTTTGAGACCATCAAAGGAACCTGAAGGTGCACAATCCCATGGGACCTGATGAGATGCATCCATGGGCCCTGAGGCAACTGGTAGATGAAGCTACCAAACCACTACCCATCATATCTGGGAAGTCGTGGCAGTCCAGTGAAGTTCCCACTGACTTGAAAAGGGGACACATAACCCCCATTTTTAAAAAATGAAAAAAGGAGGACCCAGGGAGTGCTGTGCCCAGCAAGATCATGGGGCATATCCTCCTGGAAACTATGCTAAGCCACATGGAAAATAAAGAGGTGATTGGTGACTGCCAACATGGCTTCACTAAGGTCAAATAGTGCCTGAAAAATTTGGTAGCCTTCCTTGACAGGGTTACAGCGTTTGGTGGATAAGGGAAGAGCAACTGACTTCATCTACCTGTGCTTGTGAGAAGCATTTGACACTGTCCTGTGCGACATCCTTGTCTCTAAATTGGAGAGACATGGATTTGAATGACAGACCACTCAGTGTATAAGGAGTTGGCTGGATCATCACACTCAGAGAGTGGTGTTCAACAGCTCAATGTCTGAGTGGGCACCAGTGAGGAGCAGCGTTTATCAGGGGTCGGCGTTGTGACTGGTGCTGTTAACATCTTTGTCAGTGACTTGGGTGATGGCATTGAGTGCACCCTCAGCAAGTTTGCTGACAACACCAAGCTGTGTGGTGCGGTCAACACGCTGGAGGAAAGGGATGCCATCCAGAGGGACCTGGACAGGCTGGAGAGGTGGGCCACTGCCAACCTCATGGAGTTCAACAAGGCCAGGTGCAAGGTCCTGCACCTGGGTTGGGGCAATCCCAAGCACAAGTACAGGCTGGGTGGAGAGTGGATAGAGAGCAGCCCTGAGGAGAAGGACTTGGGGGTACTAGTGGATGAAAAGCTGAACATGAGCCAGCAGCGTGTGCTGGCAGCCCAGAAAGCCAACCGTATCCTGGGCTGCATCAGGAGAAGTGTGGCCAGCAGGTCGAGGGAGGGGATTCTTCCCCTATACTTTGCTCTGGTGAGACCCCACCTGGAGTACTGCGTCTGACTCTGGCATCACCAGCATAAAAATGATATGGACGTGTTGTAGTGAGTCCAGAGGAGGCCACGAAGATGCTCAGAGGGCTGGAGCCCCTCTGCTATGGGGACAGGCTGAGAGAGTTGGGCTCGTTCAGCCTGGAGGAGAGAAGGCTCCAGGGGGGACTTATAAGACACTCCCGTGCC